TTTATTTTTAAAACAAAGATTAATAGCACTCTATGGAAGAGTCTGCTGTGAAAGTAAAATGTCCTTAATATGGTTTCAGTCAGTACAATTGGTGTTTCTTCCTCTTATCGGTACCATCAGTGCACTGTATCAGTACCTTCTGTTCCCTGTTAAACAATGAGCAGACAGATGTGATTGCTGTCTTTAGGATTATATGTATTCATTATGTCATACGGCTTTCTGATTTCTGGGAAAAAATTAACAGTACTTAATTGTCCTCTATGTCAGGTGCTTCTGACATCCTTTTTTGCCTTTTATCTGTGTGGCTAAATCCATCTCTTTTAGTAGAGTGTAGTCATTAATCATACAAGTATGGCATTTGATCCACATTGAGAAGGTTGCTGTGCATTTCGTTAAATTACCAGACCAGTTCTGTGTGCCAGCTTTTTCATCATGTTTCCCTCCTATTCTACAGTGTGTTCTTTTGCTGCCACATTCTTTGTTGAATTTCCCCTATAAAACGTGGCTTTTTTATTTTTCTGTTTTTATTTGCCATTCTTTTCATTGGTTTTATGAAAAAGGCACACATTTCTGTCCCTGAAAATGTTAGCATGTGACTTATCCTATTCAAATCAGTTCCCAAACTGCTCAGAAGACTGAGAATTTTAGAATATAAAAGGGTCTGTTCTGTTTAAGACCAAAGGTCAGCCTAGCCCAGCTATAGGCGCTGCAACAATGGCCAAATTAAAATGCTTAGGGAAGTAGGGAAGAGTTTATGAACAGGACTGACATATATTTTGTTTCCCACTTATTCAGTCTGATTCCAGCTATTCAAAGCTCAGAGGCTTCCAGACATAGATGTAATTTCTATGAATTTGGAACCCTTCCATGGTCTTCCTCATTCATGAACTTGCCCAGTTTTATGCTTAAACCCATTTAAAATTTTCTCTTTATGTGACTTCTTTTTTCATGCAAATTGGTCATTTCTCCCCTCTGTCTTCCTGGCATGAGAGTCCTGTTTTTTTTCAGTCATTGTATTTAATAATTTCTTACATAGAAACAGAACTCCATGGCTTTGATCATTCTTGTTGATCTTCTCTGACCTTTTCTTCTTTCTATTTTGAAACAGAAGTCTCCAGCTGCACTCAGTTGTCAAGATGGGTTGACCCTGTGGATTTGTACTCAGGAATAATTGTATTGCTTTTTTCCTCTTTCCTGATTATATCCAGTATTGTTTGTCTGATTGATACTGAACACTGAATTAGCAAGTTCTTGGAAATATGTATCATTATTCCATGATCTACTTCCTGAGCAGTAATGATTAGCTTAGAGCCCATCATTTTGTGTGTGAGGTTGGGTTTAAATTTTAAGAATCTAAAAAACCTTTCAAAGTAGCATGTATCATCCTTTATCCACATGATTCTTGATGAAACCGAAAAAAAACAAGGACTGAACATGCATATAACCTAAAGGCTGGTCTTCCGCTTTCAAGATTATGTTTAATAATGTAACTAATGTGGGCTAGCTGAGGCACAGCTGATAGTTTTGTTTTTTTTTTTTTTGTGTTCCATAAAAAGTACATGAAATAGAGGGGATATATTTAGGAGACACTTGGGGAGAATAGACAGTGTAGACATGTGGTTTTTAGCATTGGAATTTAGAGAAAGAATTGAAAAATGGGATGGCTTAAGGCATCATTTAGGGCCTGAGTTCCTTTTATTCTGAGAACAGATCACAGGCTGTCTTTATTAACATGGGGAGCGAGAGGGCAAGGGCAAAAATCTTTGTAGTTGGAAAAAAAATTGCTGCAAATTGAATATACTTTAATGCATACTGAGGAGCCACTACATTAAATTTGTCCTGTGTCCCAGGCAATTTTATTTCAACTCTGTGTGATACCTCAAATGTATATTTTTCTGCAGTTCATAAGTAAAATACTTTAGCAAAATGAATTAGGCAATACATACTATAAGCTTAAAATATTTATGGTTTAATTTGGTATTGTGCCAAGAAGAGACATTGTGAGGGTGTTATGATTTTGGGGTTATTTCCTATGGGGAAGGATTCTATGTCTGAAGGGGTGGTGAAGTTTTTGTGTTCAAAGTAAAACTTTGTGGACATGTGTCCCATCAGATCTTGATGATACTGGGATGACTGCAAAACATTAGGATATAGTATCTTGTTTCACATATAGTTAAGTTTAGATTCCTTTTGGTCTGCTGTCTCTCATATATTTCCCAGCCTTAGAAAAACACATGCAGACCAGTACCAGGGGCTACTCTGTGAAGCAGCAGCAAACATTGCATCTCATCATAAATTAATGAAGTGGAAAATTAATGCTTTGATGAACATAAGGCCATTGTAAATGAAGCATGAAATATGAATGAATACTGCTTTAATGTGGTAAAAGTGAAGTGGTTCATTCTTATGAGAGGTAAACATTAGAGATTGATAGATACCTCTGGGCAACTTTACTTTCAAGTTGAGATGTATAGTAGCATTTTGAAAACAGGAAAGAGGTATTTTATAGATGTAAAAACATTTTTACACTGTAATCTGTGAAAAACACTTTATACACAATATGTAGGCTTCGTGCCCAATTAATATATTACTGCAGGTTCTCTAATATTTTTTTGGTAAAGAAACAGATATGTTTCAGGAAAAATTAGTTTTTATTCCTTACAAAATCTTCCTAGGTGAATTTTGCAAGACTTCTTACGAAGATAATAGAGTAAATTTTAGGTTTGGTCCAAATGCAGCTAGCTAAGTGTGAAATATAAACTTCCTTTCTCCTGCAGGAGGGGAGAAAGAAGAATTTACTGTTTTTTGTTATAAGAAAAAATCTTTATTAATTCTGACCGAGTTTTGTTAAAATGTAATAGAATTAATGTGTTAGTATAGAAGAGGAAATATTAATTTGTTTTGGGTTCATATCTAAATTATCAATGCCTTATTTTCCCTGTCTCTATTTTCTTGTTCTCACTAATGGACTAAAGTATCTGGTTTATTCTGTTTCACTTTTGACAGTTCTTCCTGTACTTCTTGGAATCTAAAATATCCTTCCTTGCTGGCCAATCCTTTTATCCCATTTTCTAGGCTTCTTAATCTTCCTATTGTTCTTGAAGCAACAATTCACTCAACCTTCTCATGGAATTCTTTCCCCTTGCCTGTGATAATGGAGCTGTTATTGTTCTAATAATTTTGACCACAATGTATTCTTATTCTCTTCTGTGCTGTGTGAAGAGTAGAAATTATCCTGGAAAAGGGGCCAGATTTGTGAGTTCCTGGCTATTTTTTTCCTACTGCATCTTGCATTCCTACTGCAGAATATAACAGTGGGAAAAGAGAGCCCTTTTTTAGCTAAGCATGCAATCTAAAAGTAAAAGTTTATTCTAAGAGGGTGGGAGATTATTGTTTGAACCTCATTAGTTTCAAAAGTTAAAAAAAAAACTAATGCAACAGTCATTTAACAAAGTAATTTTATAGAAATAGGTTCCAATGTTGTCAGCATATTAACTGCCAGTGCAATTTTTTCCTAATTACAGAAAATTAGGTAAATTATTTTACATACATTATACTTCTGCATGCATATGATTACAGAAGCAGAAAAAACAGTCCCGCATTCACTACCTATTCTTCTTTATTGGCTGAATATTGGTTACAAGTTCAGCCCTGCAAGGTGCAAGTGAATCTCATTGCTTGTGAAACTTGACCTTTATTAGTTATGGAAAACATATTTCTTGCTATCTTAAAATCTGAATATTTGGAGCTGTTAGGAAAGAAGCAAACAATAAGACAGACATCATTGCTTCTAAATGGATGGTGTGTCTGCACTTGGGTTTACTCTGTTCAGTTCTGTTTCTATGCTCCTCACTCTCCCCTCCATCTTTTTGGAGTGGAGTGCACTTGTGCTGAGAGGTTCCCAGTGTTTGGTTTTTTTTTATCCTGGTGTGATTGAAAGTTTTAGTCTCTTTAGGTCTTAAGCCTGGGACTAAAAGGGGATGTCTTTTATGTTGGTCAGATGGTGACTTTCCAAGACTAGCAGCAGAGCTTTTGTAGTTAAGGGCAAATTAACTCAGTTTGCAGACTTTACAGCATAACCATATTTGACTTCAGGATTGATGGATTGTATTTGTTGTATAGATTTTTGCTTTAAAGTGCCAGGGCAGTAACATGGCTAATGATATCCATTATTATTAGAATGCATACCAGGTTAACAGAACCTTAGCCAAAGAAGTGTAATTTATAGAACTGTGGAGGAAATGCCAACTGTTCAGAAACTGTAAGCAGTATTGTTTCTCTACTTTCTCTTCAGCAAATAATAGAAGGGCACCTTTTGAGAAGCTCCAGAGTAATCTGGCTTGTGGGGCATAACTACTCTTTATATGTGACTAACCCACCTGTGCAGAAAACCCAAAACAGGATAATAATTTTCTTCAGTTCCTTGTATCTTGCTACGCACTAGAGTTTTTGTGTCGCTGGTTTGAATGTGAAATCTTGTTGTTGAGTCCAGCCCTAACTCTCCCTAGAGTGGTAATTCATTCTTCAGCAGTACATATATCTAAAACAAAAATATGAAATTTGATTGTTTTATATTCAGCTACGTGCTAACTGCACATAATCGTATTTGGGAAAAAAAAAGTTTCTACTATGTCTTTAGCTACAAAGATATAAATGTTGTGAGTAAAGATTTATATTTTTGTTAAATGCTTTTTACTCCCTGAAGTGCCATAAAAGAAAATTTCATACCGAAGGCTACATAAACTCCAAAACTGTAAAAGTATTGTTTTGCTTCAGTAAACTGGTAACTATTCAGAGAGACTCAAATTAAGGAAACTCTGCTGTATGTTTTATTTTGTCCTTCTTTTTTCTTAACAGCCTTCTTACTGTTGACCTGTTTTATTTACAGACACATACATATCTGTAGACCTGTTTTCCATAGATATAATAGGTTTTTAATGTCTGAGATGGCTGGAAGAATTGATTAACGTTTTTGTATTATCTTGTGTTCTGTTCTTTAGCATACTCAAGTAGCTTTAGACCATCTGGAGACTGTTCCTGAGAAACTGAGCCTGTTAGAAGATTTCAAAGATATTGCAGTGAGATAGATTTCCTATGATTCTTTTAGTATTTCCAAAATATTTTGTTTAATTAATGTCCTCTTCAGATGTATACATTAATTAATAAGATATGTAACATGACATATGTGCATATTATATAGACAAAACATAGAGAAACCTATTTTCATGTTTTATGAGGTTATAAATTTAGTCCTAATTAGTAATATTGCTGAGATACTCCATAATGTAAACAAACATTGCTAACTGGGCATAATAGGTCAAGTCCTAATCGCTGGTTCAGAATATTTGTATTAAGTGCTGAATTCCGATATGCTGATTGTTAAAAAATGAAAATTTTTAAATTAAATAAATTATACCACGTTGACAGTAGTGGTGAAGTGTTGTCAAGTCATAAGCCTCATATCAGATCTTCAGTGGGTAAGTGGCTAAACCACTGTATTATTATTGCTTTCCATATATGAAGTTGGTAGTTTACTAAAGAGAATTTGGAATCTCATGGCACAATATAAGTTTAAAATCAGTATTAAATCACATATCAACAAATGCATAATGAGTTGCATTTTATTTGCTGTGTAGAATTTCTCATTCTGAGGTACTCATAAGCATTTCAAAACATATTTGTTTACAACATTTGTTATTTTAAATGTACTTGCACAAGGTCATGTGTTAATAATTGTATGCTGTTTTATTGTTGTCATCATCAACAGTTAGGAACACAAGTGCTAGTTGAAATATTTGGGTTTTTAAAGAAAAATATTTTTGAGAGTATAGCTTTAACTTCACATTCCAGGTAACCCCAGAAGAGCTTTTTGCTCTGATGGCGATTGACATTTGCCCTTTGTTTCTGATGTTCTGCATTGTGACAGGAGAAATTCTGCTCTCAGCTGGGCAAAGCAGAAGCTTGAATGTAGGGTTTCTACAGTCACCTTCACATGTGCATGCTTTTGCTTAATGTTACAATGAAATGACGCTGTCATTTTCTGATTTGCTGTAGTTATCACTTACCCAGCATTTGTGAGATTGGAATTCAAATTCTTTGTCTTAATTTAAGCTCTGTCCTTCTCACTGATATTTAATTTTTAAAAAGTTTTCTTTTTCTCTTTAAGGAAAGAGTCCTTACCAACAACTGCATACTGTTTATTACATAATTTATTATTCAAGAGAACTAAACTTTGTATCTTAGTCATGAGTATGATGCCAGTTTGGAGTTTCATTAATTCCTATATTTGAAAATAATACATTGGATATTTTGTACAATAGTGTATTTTATTCTTAAGGAGTATGTGTGAATGAAGTATTTCAAAGCTATTAATTGCTTTCCATTACTAGCTTGTTCTTCCCTCAGTGTTTTCATAGGAAGGGAGAAGGAAAGAGAAAGTAAGTCTTTGGTGATATCTCACAAGTTGTTTGGTAGTTGTAGTCATTCAAGAGAATGATTATCTAGTTCAGTGGAAGATGTTTTGTTTTCTCATTTGAAGATAGTTCTGTTTAGTCCATATCCTTAGAATGTTGGGTTTTATTTTTTTGGGTTTTGTTTTTTTTTTTCCAAGTGCTTAATATTTTGCCATTACAGAATTTCTTTCTTAGAAGGCATAATATTAATGAATTTTGGAGTTACAAGCAATCTTTCACCATTTGAGAATGAGGCTGTTCACATTCTAACCCATTTTCATTTTAACATTACATGCTTTTGTGGGGCTTCTGTATTTCAGCCTCTGAAAGATAGTAATTAATTAATTCTTGCTGTATTGAAAATTCTTGGTGATATCTGTGTTTACAGCCAACATTTATTAACTGCTTGTCAGATTATGAAACCATTTAGATCTTTCAATCCATTTCTAGGAGTCCCGTTGCCGAAGGGAGATTATTGAGGAAAGGTACACAAAATATAAAGAACTGGTATGTTCTTTACAGCAACAGCTGGAAGATTCAAAACGAATAGTTCAACAATTCAAGGTATGTGTGTGTACTCCACTTTTGTTTCCCTGTTACTTGCAGTCAGCCGCGTAAGTTTATTTGATGCATATTAACTCCTAGTACAGACACAGACTAAAATCACGCATGAATGTTTCTGTTTTGTGTAGCTGCCATGGCTGATGTAAAATTCAATGACAGAAGCTTGTCTTCATTGTAAAGTGCCATGGATGTTTTTCAAAAATGTTTAAAATTTCAAAGAAAAGTGTCTTACTAAATCTTACAACTCTGAAGGGTTTACCTGCTTTATGAAATTGCTGTCTGCAGCAATTTTTTGATTGGTTTGTTCAATTTCCCCTTGTTCTTTCATGTAAAAGGTAAATGCAGAAATCTGTTTCTTTCATGAAAAAGATGATTAATTTTTAGATTTCTTATTATGATTTTTCAGTAGTTGCCGTTTGCAGTCTTTACAAAAGATAAGATGTCTGTTTCATGCATAAAATCCAGGCAAAAAGGGCAAGTGGTTAGAGATCACTCAGTGGACTGATAACAGGGCTAGGCAAAATTTCCTAACTCCATGCAAGACAAATCCAGTGCTCTAGAAACATTGCCTGTAATGAGTTTACCTTTCCAACTATTGACACGCTTTCTTTCTCTTTGTAATAGCTTGTTCGTTGCCATACCATTTGTTACTGAATGTCATTGTGGTAGCAGCTTACTTTGGTAAAACTACAGTTTCTTGTGGACATGACTGAAATAAGTGATCAGAGCTGAAGAACCATGCTAGTATTTCAGCTACGTATCACAGTTGAATCAAGATACTTTAGCAATGAATCTTACCAGTTTCTTTAAGCGTTGAGCTAAAATCTACTATATACATACTGTGTATAAAACCCCTTTGTTTGTGTTCCCCACCTCTTCCATAGTGGCCTTCCTTCTGTAAAATGAAGGCATACTTAGCAGTAGGTCTTTTTAAAAGTCAAAAAAGCAAAATAAATACAGAGTATTTTGGCTCAGTTAAGTTGCTGTGGTAGAAGAAGGTATTAAGCTGCTTGAAAAAGCCATCTTGCTTTTCTGCCAGAAAGAATTGAAACAGGACAGATTTGGTTTCAGTCTATTGCTAATGATAGTCTTTGCTTTCTTGAATTTCTCTTGGCTTCACACAAGAGTTACTAATTCAGTAGCCTCTGAAATTTGGATAACATTGAAAAGCTAAGTGGAATGCAATCAGCTGATGGTAGAATGTAATATTGCAGTAAGCTGACTGAACTTACTGAGCTCGTGTGATTTGAACTCTATATTCAGAATCCAGTACAAATCTGATTCCAAAGCAATATTTCCTCTTTAGACAAAAGAGAGCATTTAATGGCTTCCATTTAGTTATGCCTAATTGGGATTTTGCATGACATACAGTACTCTTTGCTGTCATGGCTGTTACAAATAGAACAGAATGTTCAAAACCAAGTAACAGACGGGAGCTAATCTGATTTTAGTGATCAGGCTAGCTTAGTCTAAAAAAACCCTTTATAATGCTTGCCTTTCTCACCCTCTCTTGGAACTAACTCAAATGCATTGCTATTTATTTTTATTTATTTTACTGTTTGTCAACTGCTTGTCTTTGAAATTGATTGGTGGAAGAATGTAGAGTTAAGGACATCAAAATTCATTCTTATAGTTTTGATTAATGCTCTATAGATAACATAGTGCTTTTGCTGTACAAAACAGACAGTTATTTGGTAGGTGATAAGAAAATGCATGTTTTTAGAAGGGAGTTCTTGTAAAATTTGTGCATTGACCATTTAAGATAAAATTATTTATGGAATTAATCTTTTTCCTTTGTTATGATCTTCTTTCTAGCCTTTCATGTTATACAGCTCTTTCCGTTTCCTTGCCAATATTAATCTCAGACAGGCATTATCTAATCCTGTGTCCGAGCCTCTTCATTTTAAGGAGTAAACATGAAACTGATGTTGAATGTTCCCCTAATAGCAGTTACTTTTCTTCCTTTCTTATGATTTCATTTGTCCCCGCGCAGTCTTCCTACTCCTTTGTAGTCTTGTCAAATGGCTATAAAATACCTGCTGGGTAGAAGCCCAGGAAAATTACAGTTCCTATTTGTATGTGTTAAAATGTAAGATTGCCAGCAATGAAGGAGGCCAGAGTCTGTCAGAATACCATCAAGTACAACAGTCATGACTTTAAGAAAGGACAAGTGATAGTAGATAAAGAAGAAGTTGGGGGAAAAGAAGATAAATATAGCACATACAGTAAAATAAATAATAAAGAATACCATCTGAAGCAAAATCAAAAGGGAAAGCTAGAGGAAAACTAAAGATAAATGTTATGATTGATAAATGTAAATACTTTAGTTTAGTTTCCCTGCCACAAATTACTGACATTCTAGTCAAATACAGCATACAGGTGTAACTGTAAATGAAGCACATGAGTAAAGAGAAAGCCATTTTGTATTGCCAATGTTGGTAGAAGCTCCTTGCTTGTTTAAAAGCTCTGTTCTAAAATAGCATTTCTGGAAGCAGATTGAAAAGACAAAAACTTTTCTTATTCTTTAAAAGTTGTTATTGTTCTATGTACACTATAGGTATTAAGTCTCACATCAGCACATAAGGGGATTAATATGTATAATTCCCATTAGTCTTAATAGGAGTAAATCCCTTTTCAGTGATGGGGGACAAAAGCTCATTGTATCTCTAATGTTGAATTTTATTTTGTTTTCTGTTTAGTTTTCACATCTTTTTAGCAGCATGAATGATAAATTGCAAAATATTTTAACAAAATTCCCTGAGGCTGTTTATGGTAAGAACTCAGTAGCAAAACTGAGTGTTTTATGAACTGGTGCATTTGTGTATTATTGTCTCTTCTCATTTAAAGAAACTGAGTAATTTGGATACTAAGCCAAGCTTTTAATCTTATTTTGGAAGGTATTGCAACTGGGGTCTACTTGCTGCAATGCTAATAAAGATATATGGAGATTTTTGTTTAAATGGCCTTTTTAAAATGATCCTTTTTTAGCTTATAGACCAAATGACTTCACTGTCATTCAGCTGTGCTGAATGGGTCTGGCCATAAATAGGAACATGGTACTTCAGACTTCAATAGTTTTACAAAAAAAATGAAAAGCAGCTTCAAGTATTTTGATATGAGAAAACAATGAAGTTTCATTTCTTTCAGTGGCAGGGAAAATGAATGTAATTTTTATTATTACCTTTTTTCTGATTCTCCTCACCATTCCACTGTGGGCAGCAAGGGGAAGTGAGTGGGTGGCTGTGTGGTACTTTAGTTGCTGGCTGGGGTTAAACCATGACAACAACATGACCATGGAACTTCACTGAATTAATGTGGACCATTCATTGATGAGGGATTCATCATTCACTGATGTCTGCCCTGCTTTGTCCTGAACTGTTGATGTGATGTGAACAGTAAACTTGCTGTAGTGACAAAACCTCACACTATTTCTAATACTTTTCTCAAGGCAAAGTATTTTTTTTTTTTTTTAGAGAGATTGTGTGATGAATTGGGCTTGAAATTCAGAGACAAATTAATTTAAACCTAACTGCAACACTGAGAATTCTGCAAATTCAAATCAGTATTTTCTAGCATGGGTGAAATCACAGCATATGCCTGTATGTGTGCTGCTGTATGTTTTTTTGATAAAGTTTACAGCTGTTTATTTGGCTTCCACAGAATGTGAAAATGGATGCTGAAATGTCAGATACAGAACTGGTTGCTCCGTCTTCTAGTTGGCAAACTCAAAACAGCTTTTTGTCCAGATCACTGCTCTCCAATTCAGGTTGTAAGTATCGTTTCATAGAAAAAAATCTACTAGTAATGTATTTTTTTCTCTGTTTTACTTGAAAGAGTAAGACGCTCTACTTTTCAACAAAACAGAAGTAATGCTAGAACCATCTTAAGCGTCTTCCTGTGTTTTGGCTTTAGATACTAGACAGATGCCTTTGTCTAGGAAGTACTTCATTACATCCCACTGATAGTTGTTTAACTTTATTTAAGTGGGACATACAATATATTCTGTCACCCAAATTTATGCCAACAGAAAAGGGCTGCACTTAGAAAAAGTGGACTTAGATTCTGGATCTCTGCTTGAAGAATTTTACCTGTGTAAACTGAATATCTTTTCGGGTACCAGCGAGACATCCTCAGCCAAGGTTTCTTTCCCAGGTCTTTCATTTGTACTAGTTAGTCTGTGCTTGTGTAGCAGTTTAACAGTGAAAGTTGAATTCACTAATTCTGCTTCTATTTCAGTAGTTGTTTTTAACTATTCTTTCTGTCCCTTAGTGCATATACAAGTGCAGGTCATGCAAGGCTATGGGATTTCTGATACAGCTACAAGCTGCTCAATAAAAGATAGGATATTAGATTTTTATCTGGAGGAGATACACCTTTGCATAAGTGTCAAAACTAACTTAAAAACCCTTAGAAAGGTTTTTTTGGGGGGGTTTGTTTGTTTTTTTTTTTCTTAGAAGGGTATGACCTTCCATTTCTTTTTAATATAGCCAATTTGTGTACTGGGAACCTATTCAGTAAGTTGCATTCTATGTAATGGCAGGTCCTATTTCAGGCTTCATTGCACTTTCAAACCTTTGCATTGTAGAATGAGTGCTGCAGTACATTACTGCTCACCAGTAAGTCTGGAGTTGATCTGATGAGGTTAAAGATAATTGGTTTCTTTTCCCTTTAGAATCTGTGGGTTGTGATTAATGTATTTCTGCAGAGCATACTGAATAACAGTGTTAGGAATAAAGCATAACAGCAAGTGCCTCCATCTCATCTGTACTTCAGGAATAGTTTCCCCTGACTCAGAGTTGTTTTTCCATTTTTCCTAACCTCATCCCTATCAGTCTTGCAAGTCAAAGTATAATTCAGCCTGGTATAGAAAACAAATAATCCATACCTTGCGGGCATGTTGGACTAGATGACTTCCAATAGTCCCTTCCAACTTCAACAGCTCTGTGATTCCATTGCAAAAACTTGTTGAAATTTAAAGAGGCAGCATAAATGTTCCTAAAATATTGCAATATCTTTATACTGCTTAACCTGAATGGAACTTGCTACGGCACTGTTGCTTTAGTAGTTTTTAATCAATTTTAGGCAACTGTCAGGGAAAAATGATCCATGTGATCTGAATACCTATCTCATGATCCAATTGTGCATATTTATTCTCTGATTCAACTGTTTTTTTTTTTTACCAGCACTAAAAAGAAGGAAGTTAAAAAAAAATTGATGAATGGAAGAGACAGTAGTGATTCAATAAGTCAATAATTATGAAATATTTGCAAAGTCTTTAGCATTTGAAAACATGTTCAGGCATGGCCCGGGGGCCATGGCTTCTTCTTCTTTTTTTTTTTTTTTGAAAACTTTTAGGAAGGTATTTTCCACATCATAAATTAAGCTGATCTTCATATTTCATATTTTCCAAATCCCAGAGCTGTGCTGAGAGTGTTTTTAATTTTGCTCTTTTGCCCAGATGGTAAAAAGCTATTAAAAAAAAGGGGGGGGGGGAGGGCGGGGGAGGGGTGTGCAGAATGACAAAAAATGTAAAGAAAACAGTGAATATGTTTTACTTTTTCCTATTTGATTTTAAGGGAAAGAAACTGGATACAAAAATCTTTAGAGTTTGTTTCTTGCATTCTATAAAAATCCATTAGTCAGATTTTCTGAGGATAAAACAGAGAAGTAGGCGTAGAATGCTTTTTCAATCTGTGATTTGACTCCAAGGGAGTGAAGATGGTGTTCTTTATTTTTCACTTTGCTATTCTTTACTTCCAAGAGTTAGTGCTATTGCATGTTTTTTATGCTTAGTAAGTAAGTATGAGAGAAAATGCTTGATGTCATTTCAGATGTTCTAGAGTATACTTCTAGCTGTCATTTCAGGAAGGCATAGATTTCCCATAGGTCCCAGGACATCTTTTGCAGCTCTTTGTAGATGTATGTGGTAGTTTATGGCACTAAGGTATGTGCATTACTCCATAGATTTTTAGTTAGTGACTGAATGTTTTACCTTTATGCTGAACCTAATCTCCACCAGTGAAATGTGTATTTTGAAGTTGCTGCTATAGTTTTTGAGGACAGTGAAAATTCTGCAGTGGTATTAACATTAAAGAGCTTTTCTTATAATTGTCAGTGAGTGATAAAATCAGCTGCTTCAGTCATGTTAATCGCATGAATAGCATGAACTGTTAATTTCAGTAATGATATTAATTAGTTATAATTTGAGACTTTGACAGCAAAGTATAATTTGAGGTCTTTTGCTCCCAAATCCCCTATAGCTTTTAGTTAATCTACCTATAAATGTCGTCAACTAATTTCTGTGATGAATTTATCTCCTTACTTCTTCAGAAACAGAAGAATGGACTTTTTATTTTTTCATTTACCTCTTGGAGTAGTTTGCAAGCCTTTCTGATTTAATGTTTCCCCACTCCATCTCTCTTAAATTTATGAATCCTTGCAGATTATAGAGTCAATAAGTAATACTCGAAGCTCCCTCCCAGTGTGGGTCTCTTATGACTTGTGGAGAGCACCAGGAAGGAGAACAGACAGGTTTGATATAGTTTAATTTATCTGCAAGGGGAATCCTGGGATTTAGGTTTAAAACAGGTTGAAGAAAGAGAGACAAAAAGTATGAAAATATAAATAATGGAACAGCAAACTCCTTCCATATATATAAAGTTGCCAGTGCAGCAGGCAGTTAAAAGGAAAAGTGATTAACATTCTGTTTTATTTCTGGTCTTCATGTTTCTGGTATTATATCTACAGTTATAACAGCTTTTCCATATCAAACTATTTTAAAGATGCTGTGGGAATGAAGTTTTATTTTATAACCATTTTCTTAGAAAGGAAGACATTTAACTGAGAAAATAATTTATGCAAGAAGACATTCATCAAACATGCTTTGCACTCTGAATTGTGAGACCAAGACAGTTGGTCAATGATGTCTCTTCTGGTTGTCATCTAAAGAATAATTCTCAGAAATTGTTTTCCATGGCCGCTGTATTTTTTTTTTTAATATTGTATTAAAAAGGTACCTGGAGTCACACATGCTTTGCTTTAGCTTTGTGAATTGGGTCCTGCCTTTCTCACTGCACAGTTCATCACTTTAAGGTTTTAACCACATGGCTTTCAGGCTTTCTGTTGTTGTTGGGAATTTATGTTCCAGGGCTTCATAAGCTATGACTTTATGAAGAAGAAAATAGCCACCAGTTTTCCTAACTTCTGTAGCTAGAATCAGAGTCTTCTCTGAAGCTTCGGCTCTGGTGATGCGCAACACTGTTGTGTCAATATGATATATAGAAGGAATGAGATTGTGGTTCAAAAAAAACAAGTTGTCCTGAATCTTGATTTTTATTGTCGTAACAATTAACTCATGCATATGCTGATATGTCTTTATACTTCTACCTATGCTTTTTCATGAGTTCTTAAGACTACTTGTATTTACATGTATAAATAAGTTAATTAAAAGTAAAAAGACATTGTAAAATTGTAGTGCTGCAGGGCACCATTATAGAACAAAACCTTCTAACACTGCTCTAGAACAAGAACCTGGAATAATTGGAAACTTGACATAATCTCTTTGAAAAATACAAACTGATATAGTTTAGCAATGAATTTTCTTTATGATTTTTCACTTTACTTTGAATACTAACTACAGGAAGTACTCCTAAAATAGCATGTGGTAGCATAGTTTTTGGCCAATACTGAAAACTTTGTGCTGACAAATGATAACTTGCAAGTTACTTATGTACCAAACACAGTGATTTCATTCTCCTTCTAAAAGTGAAAACATCTCTCTCCTCCTAATCAAACTGTGAAGACTTACTCCCTATTAAATAAATTTTGGCTATATACTGCTGCAGTTTTACTGGACTGCTGAAAAATTGCACTCTGGACAGTTATTACAAACAATCAGGAAGGACCACTTTTCTTATGATATAAGGAAGGCCATTAGAAGGGTATAAGGTGATACCCACTTTCTTCCCATTAATTTATGCCTTTTGTTAAATAATAGCTATATGCTTGGATATTTGGACTTTTCCTCCAGCACTTTATCATAAAATGCTCTGTCAATTCATATAGTCTAGATTTTGATGCAATAAAATGTATTTAGAAATAAGTATTATATATGCACTGTGCTATACATACAATCGTGTGGCATCCTATGTGCCGTGTGGCACTGAATTTGTTCAGTGCCACTTGTTGACTTTAGTCCATGCTATTGGTAAAGATATTCCTTCAGAATTTTTTTGAGTGTTTTTTTGTCTGCCTTAAGCAAAAATGCTGGAAAACTAAATGGAAAATAAGTGTTAGTGGAATTATTAAATAATTAAAAGTGCAATTTACATTTTTTCTGTATAAGAAAGCTTTTGGCCTTGCCTGTATTATATAGTATTAAAATCTGTATATATTGCATAATGAAATATATTTTTCATATAAATATTGATAGTCAGCAAAATGTGTGCATTTCTCTGAAGAGGTTTAATTTTTTTCTTTTCTTTTGTCTGACTTATTTCTAGCATTTGTGAAAAGAATGTCTCCTTTTGATACAAGTGCCACCAAGGAAGGTTCCTTCAATGTTGCTGTCAGTGAAATGAAGCTTCAAGCAGAAAGAGGGAAGCAGTAGACAATTTTACAAAAACACACCATCTTTCTCTGTGGTAAATTCCCTTCCACTCTTTTGGGGTTTTGAACAGTAATAATTCCATGTGTTATAGGAGTTATGTAAGCAAACACTTACATAAAAGAGCACAAAGAGTGAGCCTAATGAACTCCTGTGGTAATTTATGTAACTCATACACCAAAGATTTTCAGGGATTATGCTATTCTCTTGTATTTGTTTCTGCAGTCCTTGTAAATGAAATTTATTCTGTTCCTAAAATACCATGAAATGAAAGACCTGTGAGATTAATCTTTGTTATCAGCTTATTTGCCCCTGTACAGGAATTGTTCTGACATGTGTTTTTTATAATCTTTAATAACATTATTAATGAAAAATAATCAGAAACTACCTTTGTCCTAGTATTTATTATGAGTCATTATACAGTGTTGTGCAGACACATAGGTGGTTTTATGTTCTTCATAGAAGCATAGAATCATGGAATGGTTTTGGTTGGAAAGGACCTTAAGATCATCTATTTCCAAACCCCATGTTATGAGCAGAGACATATCCCACTAGACCGGGTTGCTCAAGGCTTTGTCCAACCTGTCCAGTGCCTCACCACTCTCGCAGTAAAGATTTTCTTCCTTACATCTAACCTAAACTTCCCCTGTTTAAGTTTAAACCCGTTAGCTCTTGTCTTATCGCTACAGTCCCTGATGAAGAGTCCTTAGCCAGCATCCTCGTAGGACCCCTTCAGGTTTTAGAAGGCTGCTATGAGGTCTCCACGCAGCCTTCTTTTCTCCAGGATGAACAGCCCCAATTTTCTCAGCCTGTCTTCATATGGGAGGTGCTCCAGTCCCCTGATCATCCTCGTGGCCCTCCTCTGGACTTGTTCCAACAGTTCCATGTCCTTTTTATGTTGAAGACACCAGAACTGCACACAATACTCCAAGTGAGGTCTTACGAGAGCAGAGTAGAGGGGCAGGATCACCTCCTTCAACCTGCTGGTCACGCTGCTTTTGATGCAGCCCAGGATACGGTTGGCTTTCTGGGCTGTGAATGCACACTGCCCGTTCAAGTTCAGTTTCTCATCAAGCAACACCCCTAAGTCCTTCAGGGCTGCTCTGAATCTCTTCTTTGCCCAACCTGTAGCTGTGCCTGGGATTGCCCCAATGCCAAATGCTAAAAATCATTTAAGAAAAAAGTAATAAAAATTGGACATAACCAAACTTTTTCAAAATCAATGGAAATTTATATTATGATTTCAGGTTCAGCATGTGTCTGTTATAAGTTGTTTAGGATTATTCTTTTGACCAGAACAGCTTTATCAAATGGTCACTGGTAAGGCACTTAACAGCATCTGAATCTCACCCATCCATATTAAGCTTGTGGAAGGGCACTGCTGTGTGGGTTAGAAAATTTTAATAGCAGGATTTAATACAAATTTATTTATTCTAATTTCCTCTCATATGTGTCATATTGATTTTAAAATATTATGGAAATGCATTATTTCACGGTTGTATTTGTTCAGATGTCTCTATTCTAAACAAATTGGATACAATTCTATGTTACCATGGTCTTAAACAGCATATCACAGAAGAATTTTCTGCTGTCAGAAGAAATGCAAGTGATGCTCCTTGTTTTATTCTCTTCTTGAGTGTTTCTGGGTTGAGTCACTAATATTGTGCCTTAAAGATTTGCCAAATTTATCAGAATACTCTAGCAACGTGAACATCATCGAAACCATTTTGGTCTGTGGACTTCTTTCATATTTAGGAAGCCTAGTTCTTTGAAACACTGTCTTTGTTTAGCACTGTAGGTGTCTCAGACATATTTTATTTTGCAGGTCACTGTGCCACCTAAAAAGAAAGGACCTTTTTTTTTTTCATTTTCTAATTTTATGAAGAAGTGTTCTGTTCTCTGGACAGTGTACTTTCTTGACAATCCCCTTTGATGCAGCCTATTCCAGACAGAAATTCTTGCTGAGAATATCAAAGTCAGACAATGAAATGAGAAAAGTAAAATCCTTTTATTTTCTATACCTTTAAATTACTTAAAAAAGAAAAACAAAACAAAAAACTAATTTTCGTAAAAAAGTTTTCTTTACCTTTTGTATGTGAATAATGCTATGCATTGGAGTGCTGGAATGGACTTTTTTGCAGACTCCCGGCGCATCTGCTCCTTCAGAAGGTCAGGAAAGCTAACCAGGCACATTCATCGGTTCTGATCTCAGCAGCAATGACAGGACCAAGAAAAAACAAAACAAAGCAAAACAAGTAAGCTTCTACTCTAGAGAAAGCAGGATAGATAGAAGCCCATTTGTGTCGTGGTCTGTGAAGAGTGTGGATGTCAGGAAGCAGTGTTTAGCTCAAGCCACAGTTACCATAAACTAAACTTACTTTAAATGTATCTAACATTTATAATTTGTTTTTTTTTTAATTAGATCAGAGCACAGTTGGAAATATGGTGTTTAAAATATTTTAGCTGGTTTGTCTGGTGAAACAGTAAAAAATTGCAAAATAAAATGTCAGTTTGCAAATTTTATGGTACCCACAAATTATGGCTAAAAAGATAGAAAGGTATTTTTTAAATATACTATACAACAGTAAATCATGCTCTCAAAACACCTTGTCTTCTAATGAGGTCTGGTGCATGTATTGCTGATGGGTAAATATATGCCCAGCCTGCTTTACTAAAGTTGAAATGATTTTTGAGGTAAAGGGTCTGTTGGTAAATGAATGGGTCTTTAAGAGTCTAAGCTGAGAAGTGATACATAGAAAATTATGTCCTCTCTTTTTCCTAAGAAATCTGTAAAAATCTGGATATTGATTTCCCTCACCATATTATTTATACTTTTTTTTCATTTGTAACTCAGAAATGTATGTTTCTTTAAAACAGTATCGCTTCTGCTTTATAGTGTTAGAAAACTAAGAATAAGCAGTCTGAACTCCCTCATCTTTACATCAACTATTGAAATTATTTTTGTACCATGCGGGACAGAAATTGCTTCTAGGTGAATGATTTTGGCTTTAAGACTTTAAATATGCTCAGGGCTTAATCTATTTGCCTTGAGCCATGTGACTGGGTTTTCAGCAGAGTTTTATATCCTTTTTAAAAATTTTCTAAATGGGCTGGGGGAACAGAAGGGAAGAAGTCAAACAACCGAAAAGAGAGAGGAATTTTTAATGACTAGACGTATGGATTCCTAAGCCAGGAAATTCTTTCTGCCCTCTTGGCATGGCCATCCAGATAGCCTGTAATATTTTCTCTCTTTCACCTTTGGTAGAGGTTCATATTACAAAGTGAATTTTGTTTCCTTTTTACTGAAGGCTAAAGTTCCGTTCATGACATTATGTAAAACTGTCCCTTTGTGATTTAGGAAATAATATTTTTTCCATAGTGGCCTGAAATAAGACTCTTCTAACCAGTTTCAGTTTTTAAAGTAGAAAAACTGAGAGGTTTTTTAGCAAAACATTTTTTGTATTTCAGTCTTTAAAGTTGCTGTCCCTTTTGATAATCGCTTCTTTTTTTTTTTTTTTCCCCTATGTTTTAAAACTTTAATGACCTGTTCCTCAATTCCTGCCCAAAGCAGTAGTTTTCAAAAATCAAAAAATGTGGTATCATACCTACGAATGGTGGTTTGTTCCTTTGTTCTCTTCAGCATTTGGTAGATCAGAAAACTTTGTATGTATGTACTAAATACATTTTTAACAAGATGATATTAGACATCCATTTCACTGCAGTGGTTCAGTATAGTGCTTTCTGAAATGCACTGGCCTTTTATTTTAGCATCAGATAATTGTCACTTGAATAACCTTTAAGTTTTATATCCATCAGTTCCTTAATGCTTTACAGCAGACTTGATTACTTTTTTTAAATTGCTTTTTGTGATGGTATTTACTAAGTATTGGCTTTTATTATGTAATTATGTCATCCTAAGAAGAAACATAAAAATAAAACTTTTTCCAGGATAAAAAATAAAATTCTATAGTATAAAACAAAGCAATTTTCTTACATTGAATTCTCAGATTTTGATGGGTGTAGTGGTGGTGAAAATACTCCCTGGATATTCAAACCTCAGCCACATTTTCACAAGGTGTCCCACCAAAATAAATAAAGATATATTGAAATTCCTTAGAATAAAGAGAATACTATTCTAAAATCCACTTTTGATCTAAGGAATCTGCATATCAGTTCATCTGTGGATTGCAAGACATAGTCTCTGCACTATGTAGCACTGAATGGATTTTTCATGAATGAAAATGCCAATATTACTCTGAAAATAAACAAGTAAGTATTTTTGTAACACTGTTACCATTTTTATGGCTCAAAATGAGTAGTATAAAACCTGAATACATTCTCATATCTACATATCTCATATTCTTTCTGCAAAAGAAATTATTTGTAAATTTATGTGGGAATGCTTCATATAGTTGAATTTTACCATGGGTCTGTTAAATTCTTTGCATTCAAAGGATGTTAGTAATATATTTATCTCTCTCAGGACTGTCTTGACCTCACAGAAGGAAGTGATATTGAGGTTAATGTGAGCTGCAGGCCGGTATCTGGGGATGCAACTTTGTCAAAAATGGACATCACAGAAATTACTGTGGTTTTGATCTAACTGTAGAATTTAGAAGCAGATCTAGAGGAAAACCTAGTAGTAGAAAGAAAGAAAAGCAGCTCATATTAAATGAGAATATTGGAACACTTTTATTCTTGGTTCCATAATTTAAAACCTGCTTTAGACCTAGTATGCACATCTAAATGAAAGTGATCCCTCAATAAATTATTTTTGTTACATACTAAAATGCTCTATAGTGCAACTTATCTCAACTCTTTACTGTAAGCATGTCTAAGCTGTTGTAGTGTGAACTGTTTTACTTTTCTGTGTAAAGAACTAAACCAGATGTTAAATCTGAAGAACACTTTAGTGTTCTATACAGAAGTAGAGCAGAGCAGAATTTGGCAGTCTCAGTTTTTCAAAAATCTGTAAACTAATGCCTCTGGGAATGTTGACAACAAAAATGAAAGAGATTGCTGTGGTTAAAATACAGCAACATACAGCATTTATCATTCCTACTAACAACAATAGCTGTCATGTTTCTAAAGCTAAAGTTGCACGTCTGCCATTTCTCAGGTTGCAAGGATGAGACTGGTTTCTCTTGCCTTTATAGTGGCAAAATCTGTAATGTCATGAGCCTTGAGCAAACAGGCAGTGATGATATTTGTTTTAAATTTCTAGTCATTTTATTTAGGTACCTACTTGGTGCTATTTGGAACTAGATATTTTTGGAACTTGAACATTTAACAAGTTTTTGTTAAAGGATTACATTTAAATAGAAGGACTGCATCAAGAGATTTCTTTTAGGATAATTCTGCTATCTTTATTTAGGGATGTGACTCCT